TCTCCTGATTGAAACATCATGTGTTGAAATAAACAACTGCAGTTCAAAATAAAAAGTGAAATGCCTAATATTTTTGTTGTGGAATCAATTAATTTCTTTGTTTAAAGGCAAAAACATAAAAAAGCTAAGAAAAAAACTATTGAATACAATATATTTGGAGCAACTTAATTTATAAATGGTTGTCAACTTAAAAATGTGTGTTCACAATGATGGTAATTCAGCACATACAACTTAAAATTCCTTTTAAATCATACGGTAAAACAAGTTGGAACAACTTAATCTTTTGAGTAATCAACTTCAAAACTTGTGTTTATGCTACCAATTATTAAGTAAGTGGTAATTAAAAACACCTCTGATTGTAGAGGAAAAGCCTTCTCCCCTAACTCAAATAACTTTGTTGCTTTAAGACAGTTTCATTAGAAGTTGTCTTAACTCAATAAACATCGATGCAAACTGTTGCCTTGATTTTCTTTGTTGAGCCAGGGCATTTGTATTTAGAGTGTGTAAGGTGTAGAACAATTAAGTTATCAAGCCAATTGCATTACTTACTACAACTTGAATTTAGTTTTTAAGTCAATTAACGCAGAAATCAGAGTTCAAATTACACACAATATTAAGTTGATGTAATTACCAACATTATTACGTCAACACAACTTATAAATGAATGTTTGCAACTCAAAATGTTTATCTAAATCAATCAACTCACATTTTTATCTTGCAACCATGCATTTAATTAAGTGGAGGTGAAAGGTCGCCTCAATTCGTTTTTTAGAGTGTAACAACAAGCTATTAAGCTAGCAAATATAACAAAGTTTGCTAGCCGCTGATTTTGGTGCACAACTGACTCCTTATGTGAGTCAGGAACCTCACTTTTAATGGTGAAAACACACCTCTCTCATGTAGCAGCTCTTCTTTGCCATTGATGCCACATTACAACCAAGCGTGAGTAGAGGGTGGGGAGAAGCCAGATTCAGAATGTTTCATGAAGCAATAAACAGCACATGTGCCTGTAGCCCTTTTAAAAATATATATTTTGCTTACTAGTTTTGTGGTAAACCCGTGTTAAACAAAATGTCATAGCAGATTATTCTAATAATCTTTAAAAGGTGCCTGGAGGCGGACTTTAAAACAATGATAAAAGGTTTAAACTAAATTAATTATATCAAAATACATTGTTGAGGTAGCAGTTGGTATTCAGATGAGTGCACACACACCTGGAAAATGGTACTGGAACACATCGTCTACTATGTGTTCACCTTAAGATGATGTTTTTGACGAATGTATACATCCGCCACAGATATAATCTCAACCCATTTGCCCTCACAGTACATTTCAATCAGATAACATGAATTCATCAGCTGAATGTGATGTGAGTAATACTGCTGTTCTAGGCTGAAGCAGATCACACCGTTCCAGGCTTATTGGCTCACAGCCTCTTTATTTAAAGAGGTGACATTTTCCA